TTGGGGGGTAGTTATGCATGGCCTGTCAGATTATTAGATTACTTCCCTCATCGTTAGCAATTCTTATCCTTAAATAGGCAACAAGGAAAAGAGAAAACCGAAGACACTCCGTGTGTACTCTAGACATGCTCATTTATGCAGAGACACACACATACCCACCACAACTAGCCCCAAAGGTACCCGTTTTAAAAACAGATTCAAAAGGGAAATTTAATTTTCCTTGCATTCATTCAGCGGATATTTGTGAGCACCTCCTGTGTACCAGGCACAGGGAGTATTCAGTGGGAAAGAAGCATGTGTCCCATGCTTCATGGGAAACATGCCCCCAACCCAAAGGCCACCACCAGTGCCAGTTTCTCTTGCTTCCCTTCAAAGATATACTGTGCATAGAAGGAATATATTTGTGTGTGTACCTCACTATTTTTTTTGTAATCCAAGTGATAGCACACTATCCATCTCACATCTTGGAGAATATTCCAGATTGGTCTAGCTCATCCTTCTTTCTTACTGTTGCATAGCATTACACTGGATGGTTGGATGGTTATTTTATGATGTCCCTGTTGCTGGACATATTGAAGTAATTCCTAGGGGATGTTTTTCTTCTATTTTAGGGCCTTGTGTCTTTCTCCTCTGCTTTTACATTTCTTCTAGTGCATCACCCCATTCTGTGTCGTTCCATCAATAATGATTCTGGGAAAAGGGACACATCACCACCTTCATAGACACCCTCACCCTTCTCTGTACTTCCTGACTGATCCAAGCCAGCATGACAAGGTTACATTTACCCACAGATTTCTTGTGATCACCTTATAATTGTTGATCTTGAAGACAACAGATCAACTTTCCTACTCCAGGATCCACTGCTTTGAATTACAGCAAACTTGACAGTTGACTCCATTTGGCAGGCATCACCCCCGTCACCTAGGACTCTGTTTGCAGCTGCCCTGGCTGCTCACTGTCCGATGTTCTGTGCTGAAGCAGCCAGGTACCCCAAGGGGCTCCCTTTGCTCCTGGATCAGAGGCGGCCTCCTTTTCCTTTGAATGGCATTGCTCTCGCAGTGTGATTTTATTTCCACCATAACATAGAAACTTTTGAAGATCAATCAAAGCACAGTAACTTTAAATGCATCATAATTAGATCTCTCCCTTTTGGATGGCTCTATAAAGTGTATCTTGTTTCATTTCTGGAAACCTTAACTGTCAGAAGGTTGCTTTCTCACACTTGGTCATAAAAACATAGGAAGCCCCTTCCCAACTTAAATCTTTAGAGATTTTGAAGTGACCTTGACCACTGGTTGTTGCTTCAGCTGTACTTTCTGGTTTCTATTATTTCTGCTCTTCTTCATGTTGACATCACCTTTCTGTGCCTCTGAGGTTCAGTTTTTCCATTTCTAGTTGTTTCTTCTCTCTTCAACCCCTGCTTTGCCCCTCTGTGGATATCTGGTTTTTGTTTGTTTTTTAAAGCAGTTTCTTCTTCAGCACTGGCTTGTTGCTTTGACTGTGTTATCTTGTACCTGAGCAGCATAATTTACTGTTCTCTCTCATTCCCCCAGATGGTTAGTCAGCAGGTCTCACCAATCCCCTTTATATTAAAGGGTTTTATCATGATGCTAACCCAGTTTCTTATTCTGGCAGTGAAATTAAATTGAAAAATATATATGATTTTCTAGAGATAGAGCCTTTCCTTTTTTAATTTTGAAATTTTGGAAAAGTTAACATTTGCTTTTGAACTGTGGCCCCCTGAGTGTCCAGTGGTTGAGCATCTGCCTTCAGCTCAGATCATGATCCTGGAGTCCTGGGATTGAGTCATGCATTAGGCTCCTTGCAAGAAGCCTGCTTCTCCCTCCTATGTCTCTGTCTCTCTCTGTGTGTCTCTCATGAATAAATAAATAAAATCTTTCAAAAAAAATTAACTGAGGTCCCCTTTCTTCCTTTTTTTAAGACAATTTTCTAAACTCAATCTGTAAATTATTTATTTTAGCCATTTATCACTTAATTGCCACTTACAGATTCAACAAATAATTATAACATTTCTGCCACATGCCCAACACTGTCCTGGGCCCTGGAGACTAGACAAGCTCTGCCCTCCAGAAATCCACTTTAGTGAGAGGAGGCAGTGGCCCATGATGTAATCCAGGAGATGGAGCCAATGTGCTAGAAAATGACAACAGGAAAGCAGGTGGGGAGTTCAATTTTAATTAAGGGGATTAGAGATGAACTCCCCAGGAAGAAGCCATTTGACCAGACTCAAGGAAACACAGTAGCAAGCGCTGGGGATTTACCTGGAGGGAGAAAGGCATCCTGGCAGTGAGCACAGTGTGAAAGCTAAGGAAGTGGGTGTGTGACACCCGGAAGGAACAGCAAAAAGTCCCCCATGCTGGAGGGGAGCAAACAGAGGAAGTTGGTCAGAGAGGTTCCCAGGAGCCCATGGCGGGAGGCCTTTCATACCATCTCAAGGACTTTGGCTCTGGCTCTGAGATGAAGAGCCATTGGACAGTTTTGAGCAAGTGAGTGAGGGGATATGTCTTGTTCTGTGAGGCATTATTGTCACATATTATTTCAGGGAGATTTATGACTGATTAAGAAAGCAGCCTTTCTTCTAGTTATTTTGTGTTTAGAGTACGAAATAGTTCTAAAGGACCCTGTGTTTTCTCTCCTCTTCCTTCCTCATTGTTTTGTAAATGCCCAAGACCATTATTATTATTAGTATCATTTAATAAGCCTGGTCTTTCAGCAACCAACCAGGGTCCTGGGAAGGAGCCCCGCATCAGGCTCCCTCCTCAGCAGGGAGTCTGCTTCTCTTCTCTGCTGCTCCCCCTGGTTGCGCATGCACACACGGGCACTCTCTCTCTCTCTCTCTCTCTCTCTCTCTTAAATAAATAAATAAATAAATAAATAAATAAATAAATAAATAAATAAATAAATAAATAAATAAATAAATAAATATCTTTTTAAAAATCAATCCTGATTTAACATATTTCTTTACAACTTATTTCAGTACTTCTTCCACAAGGATGAGAAGATAAGGCTGAAAATGAAAGACATTTGAATTCAAAGGCCACAAATACAGAACCAGAAAATAAATCACAGTATGGTAGGAAGGAGAAGCGAATATGGCAGACTCATTTAGGAGACTGTCAAGAGGTGATTGGCCTATTTACCCACAAACTTCATGGAAACCAAGCTAAAAAGGATACCAACAGATCACACAATTATCCTGACCTGAGTTTTTCCAGCCCATAGTGCTTGTCTTTTCCCATCTTACTCTAATGCAAACTGCCATGTGATATAGGTTTTTAACATGCTTCTTCCTCCCCAAAAAAGTGATTACTTTCTAAAAGTTGGTCAGGGGCACCTGGCTGGCTCAGTGGTTGCGTGTCTGCCTTTGGCTCAGGTCATGATCCTGGGTCCTGAGACTGAGTCCCTCGCAGGATCCCTGCTTCTCCCTCTGCCTATGTCTCTGCCTCTCTCTGTGTGTGTCTCATGAATAAATAAATAAAGTCTAAAAAAAAAATTTTAAAATAGAACAAGTTGGTCAGTATGCATTTCACTATTATTCCTACTATGTGGCTTATTTATGTGAGGAGTGTCATTTTTGCCAAAAGAAATAACTTCCCACTAAAATTGTTAGTTTTGGTAATTGTAGACATTAAAATCAAGGCTGATTTTTAAAAATGTTTTAATTCTGTTTCAGTAGACTGAAACAGATTGCCAGCTTCCGGAGGCAGAAATTGTGTCTGTTGTTCACCCTTGTGTCCTTGGTACCCCCTGAACATCCCTTCAGGTCTTCATCTACAACTCCAAAATCTCAAAAGCTTAAAAAACAAAATTTTATCAAAAGTTGCGTACCAACACTCATTCAGAGGCTAGGCCTGAACTGAGTGAGCCTATTTAAAACATACTCATCTGTCCCACTTTTTGTGAATACTCATGTATATTACTACAGACGTGATAATAGATCTAATTTGAGTGCTTTGCAGACCCTGCTGGGTGTTCTATAACATTTGGTTTATGCGTCTTACTACTTCTCTATATTTTTTTCCTAAAGGAAAAGATAATTCAGTTCTTAGAAGCAGTGCATCGAAATGTTGCCTTAATTATTCTCTTAGAGTAGTTGTAATTGGTCTTCAGCTAACCTAGTAAATCTCAAGAGTGGGAAGTGTTATTGTTATCAGTTAAAATTGTCCTAATTAGTGTCCTAGCAGGTGATTTTTGTGGGATTCATGTATTCGTTATGTTGTCTCTGTATCTTATCATTTTGTATCATTTTGTTTTTCTTCAACATTTTTTAAGGTGTCACATCAGCCTTTTTAATGCTGGCGACTTAATTGCAAAAGCACACATAAACAGTTTGAAAGGTGTGAGAAGAAATTCACAAGTCACATGAGTAACAGCAACAAAGCTAGCATTCAGTCTGGAATTCCTCCGCTGTGCAAAACAACCCACTGCCAGTGGGTCGAATGGTGTGTCTTGAAAGGGAGAGAGAAATGAGCTTGATACAAGAAACATTTGTTTCACACTGAAAATACAGTGGGAAGTATGGATGTAAATTAAATATAGGCTTTCCCCTCTCCAAGCTTAATAGGGAAAATGAGACGTGTCCATAAAATAAATGAAATACGCAGCAGAACATACCAGAGGAGAGTCCTTGCAGCTCGGGGGGCCGGGAAGGGAGATCAGGAATTGGAACATAGGTACTTGGAGAGGGTGAGCTCATGGAGTACAGATGGGAGAGGGAGTCCAGCTATCGAGAAGCTAGCTCTGTGTTGAGTAGTAGAGACACACAAACAAATAAATTATTACAGAAAGCAGTATATGTTATCCTGGGGGCTTTGGAACCATAGTGGAGAATGATCAGTCCTTGGGAAGGTGGGCAGGAGTTGACTGTAGGGCAGGGTCTTGAGGAACTTGGGAGTTCACCCAGAAGGGCCGGGGTGGGTAACCTCTCAACAGCCCGACAGCTGCATGAGGTGACTTGTCATATTGTATCCTTCCTACAGGTGAATCCCACATCTCTTCTGGAACGATTCAGAGTGGGAAAGGCTTGCAGAATAAGAGTCAGTTTAGGACCATTGCGCCCAAAATTGTGCCCAAAGTCCTAACCTCCAGGGTGCTACCATGCCATTCACCGTCACTCTCTGACCCAGTGAATCCGGGCCCTTCCATCAACGCCAAGCCACTGGGGGTGCCTGCCCAGAATTATGCCCTGATGCAGGTTGCTGGACAGGAAGGGACCTTTTCTCTCGTCGCCCTGCCACATGTTGCTTCAGCTCAGCCAATCCAGAAGCCCAGACTGCCACTGCCCGAAAACCTCAAACTGCCTATTCCTCGATACCAACCACCAAGAAATAACAAAGGATCGAGAAAGAAACCTGTTCGGAGCTCCTCTGCGAGTGGCGGTGACATACCTCCTGCCCAAAACCAAACGTCCCCCTCTCCCCCTGACCGGCCTGAACCTCCGTACAAAGCCAGTACCTCAGAGCAAGCACTGTCGCTGTCACTATACCCATCCCCCGCCAGCGTTGGCTCAGCGGTACCAACCCACCGAGGTGGTGGAGACCCTCCGCCTCCAGCAACCAGTGACCGTGGAGACCTGCACTCTCTTGCCACCCCGACACCATCCACACAAGCGGAGCCCTCTGCCAAGCAGGCCCCCGCCAAGACTCTAGGGAGAGTGGACGTGCTGAACAAGAAAACGTGCAGTAAACCTTGTGCCATTGCCGGTGGAAAACTTAAAGAGAAAGGTGATCTCGCAAAAGCCATGACCATTTTATCACCAGCTGTTTTTGGCAACACAGTGCAGCTGATCTCTCCGGTCCCCAGAGGTAAAGTGCCCATCCTGCCCTACGCCAGAATGAAAACAGTGGAGCTGTGCAGAGCACAGTCAGATGTTAACACCGCAGACAGCTCTGTCCCTGGGCTTGAGGCACCCTGTGCCAAGACATTGGCCATCACAGGAGGCTTCCACGCCACCACCAGAATGGCTAGCAAGACGCCTGCCCCGCAGCCAGCAAGGCAGAGTCCCTGTGGAAGCGCTTTCTGTCCCGCCACCAGACTGGACCTCAGCCACAAAGCAAAACTGAACAATGGGGCAGCAAAGAGACGAGTAAGGAAACGAAAGGTACCAGATGAAATGTTGGCATTTCAGGGGAAGAGGAGGAAATGTATCATTAATAGGTGTAAAGACAGCAAAGAAAGGGTGAAACCCGATCCCCAAGAACCCAGGGACCAAAAACCTGGGGCTCTGAAGAAATACCGTAGCATTATGCCCAAGCCTGTGATCGTCGTGCCCGCCCTGGCTCCCCTGGCCTCTCCCACGGGTGTGGCACAGGCCCAGACACCTGGCAGCCTGGGACAGGACGTTGTGTTAAATCATCCATTCACTCCTAAATATCTGGGCTGGAAGCAGGATGGCAGCGCCCCCCCTAAGCCCAGCTCTGCATTGAGGAACGGCTTCTCCGGCATCAAGAAGCCCTGGCACAGATGTCACGTCTGTAACCACCACTTCCAGTTCAAACAGCACCTCCGAGACCACATGAACACGCACACGAACAGACGGCCCTATAGTTGTCGGATCTGTCGCAAGGCCTATGTACGTTCAGGCAGCCTGAGCACACACATGAAGCTTCATCACAGTGAGAACCGTCTGAAGAAACTCGTGTGCTGTGAATTCTGTGCCAAGGTGTTCGGTCACGTCAGAGTCTATTTTGGTCACCTAAAAGAAGTGCACCGGGTTGTCATCAGCACTGAGCCGTCCCCTGGGGAAAGGCAGCCAGGGGACGTGCCAAAGAGCAGAGGCCTGGGTGTGCGAGGGACGGAGGGCCCCGTGGAGAGGTGAGTGCTGATGGGATGGAGGCCTGGCACCGAGGTCGGTCTGGATTTGGAGAACAGGGCATGATTTCGTATTTGGAAAGATGAGTTTGTAAAAACATCCCTGGATTGAGATTTGTAAGGTAGCTATGTCCTCCTCGTTCTGTGAAGAGGTTTCTCTCTGGTTTCTGAGCAGTGGTGGGTTTTCATTGCTTTCTGTCCTGTCAGCCAGGGCACCAATGCCCGGATGCTGGGGACAGCAGAGTGAAGGACGATTTTTGCAGCTGAATTAATTATGAAGCAGTAAATTGCTGCATACAGTTCCCAGGGCTTTGTACAAGTAAGTTTCCCCAAACCTGTGGCCACAGAATTTATATCTAAACATCATCCTTCGCCCCAGAATGCAGTCTGACCCATGGTGGGGACTCTGTGTGCCCTGCACGGCCGGCCCCCAGGTGCCAGACCCAGCCTCTACAGTTGCCCTGTCTTTCCTGTCATGCTGGTTTCCCGTGTCATGTTGTCCTGTGGAAGTGCTACTCTCGGACTTCACGGACAAACAGGCTGTGTAGCTGGACAGCCTGGCTGGCAGGGCTTCAGGCACTGGGTACACCAGGGAGGCCCCTTCAGTTTGCCTGCTTTCTACTGAAATCTGTTCTCAGCAGCACGTTCTAACTTTAGAAGCTCTGTCCCTCGTCATTCTTAATTGTCCTGATTGTTCTAAACTCTTTCTATCCAGTTGTGTCTTTCTCTGTCACATTCACTAAAATCAGGGCCTCCTATCCTGTTTCTTCCTGGCTTTTCTGTAGTTTCCCTGCTTTTCTTTAGGGCATTCCCATCCACTTGCAGATAGTCTGTGCCTCATTTCTTTTCTTTTTTTTTTTTTAGATTATATTTATTCATGAGAGACACACACACACAGAGAAGTCTGTGCCTACTTTCATTAATACATCTGGCAGCCCCACTAAAGAAGCCCCCCTTCTTAACAGCCTTCTGTAATACATTTTGATTTTTAAGTGAATGTCCAAACTGCTCTCTCTCTGTGCTCAGGGTTAGTGAGGATGGGCAGCAGTGACGGTGGCCCTGTGCTGCCCTGCTTCCCTTGCTCCTACCCGGGGTAGAGACCAAAAAGGAAAGCCTCCTTTACTCAGTGGACACCGGGAGCTTGAGGACTGCGGGGCTGGGGCCGGAGCAGGAGTGACATGGGCGTCCCCTGGCCTCTGCTTCCCCATCCCCTGAACTTCTCCTTAGAGGGAGTGTTCTGGATCCCTGAAGGCCAATGTCCCAAAGGAGAAGCTTCAGGGATATTTTCCATGAAATCTGATGTTGGCTATTTTCCCCCTTTGCAGGGAAAACAAGTCAAGCCCGGAAGAAGAGCTCCTCCTGACCCAGGCAGATGAAGTCAAATTACAGATCAGATGTGGCCGCTGTCAGATCACTGCCCAGTCCTTCGCTGAAATCAAGTTCCATTTACTTTACGTTCACGGAGACGAAATTCAAGGCCGGCTACCAGAGGAGATCCTTCCAGGAAGCCTGGCAGCTCCAGAGGAACTGGCGAAACATGTGGCTCCTTTCTGGAAACAGCATCCTGAGAGAAGAAAACTGCTGAAGAAGCTCAGTCCCCCCGAAGACGAGCTCCCCGCATTTCCCAAATTGAAAGGGCAGCCCTGCCTGCCTCCTCAGAACAGTGTGGAGACGCTCAGGAAGATGGAGGGAGCCTTGGCAGGGAGGGAGCAGGAGTGGGGGGCAGCCCCCCGGGGCCCTGCATGTCCCAGCCCCCACGCCCCCCCCTTCCTGGGGGCTCATTCAGGCCTGAACTGTGTCCTTTGTGCACAGACGCTGGCCAGGAAGGAAGACCTCCTCCTACACTGGGAGCAGCGGCACTGCTGTGAGGACCCGCCCAAGCTGTGGACCATCTTAAATTCACTCCCCAACCAGGGGGGGATCGCACTTTCTGGCAAATCTGAATCCTGAAATACTGGGGCAGGAGGGGGTTCAAGAGAGTGCTGCTTGCTCTTTCTCTCAAGGCTTTGTTCTCTTAGGGTGGTGCTTAATTATAAAACCCAAGCAAGTTAGGATCAGCATTAATGAGCACAAGGGATTTTGTACATAGCTATATTTTCTTATTTTCTTTCTCCTTCAATGTATATTTTTCTAACCATGTGCGGTTTTATTTCAGAATTCTGTGTACTGTTAATGTCTTAGACTTTATGTGAGAATAAATAAAAAGATCAAAACTTGGAGATTGAAATGTAAAAGATTATAGGCTGTTCTCCAAGTACAGTTTTCAGCGGGTTTGAGTGTGTGCGTATATCATTTTGTTCAGCTGGTTTCTGTTTAAGTAGACCGACAAATGTGATCTATTTCCAGGTGGCAAAACCAGTTCAGTCTCAACCATAGTACAGTGTTGATATTTATCAGATTTGCTGGTGTTTTAGGAGAGGCTATAGAGCAGGATATTTAATAAACTTCGAGTCTCCCATAATTGAAAATCCATGTTTCCAGGACTTAATTTTTTTTTTTAATTTTGCTATTTTCTCAAATGTACACCACCTTGGAGATCAGATGTTGGTTAAGTCTTACAGCTGTAGCGTTCCGTATCAAAGTAATCAAAACGTATTTAGTACTCCAGCTAATAAAAAAAACACTTTTTTTGGTTAAAAGTTCTTTTCAAATAGTCTTTTGGGCCAGGAAATTTACAACCTGGAAAGTGCACTAGATAGTGCAGTCCAGATGGCGAGGTGTCTGAATCCGCCCTCCCTCCCAAGGAACTTCGCGGGGCTGTCGCTAGCTGGGCTTTCGATGCCACTGGGCCTTTTGAGCCCAGGGTTCGCTTTGAAAATCAAGAGTGAATGATTTGCCTCTTAAATTCCTGGGAAGTGACCTCGAATCAGCAAAGTTGCCATTTGGAGCTCTGGGCCGTCCTGGCTGCAAGTGTATTTTCTTAGAACAGGGGAGCTTGAGCTGTCATCCAGCTGAAATTTCAGCCTTTGGGCGAAAATGCTGTGCATGTGGCCACCTCGTCTGCGCAGAGCCAGGCCCAGGCAACAGTGGCCTGTTTTCCCGGTGCTGCAGGAAGTTACCCAAGCAAGAGGAACTGAATTTGAATAGATGAGCTCGTGGGTCTGTCTTAAGTCATCTGTTTTTAATGTCTTATTGTAAAAACAAACGTTTGTAAGCATGATTTGGCTCAGACAGTCCAGGAACGGAAAACTCAATCCTTGACCTTTTGTAAATCATTTTTGTAAATTTGAGAATAGGAGCCTAAGAGTGGAAATCTCAGGAAGATTTTGCCATGGTTTACGGAGCAATCGCGCTCTACCGAGTTTGAAAGGGATCATGGCAGACCTTCACTGTCTGATATTTTTAGAATGAGGTTCGTAATGAAACCACTTTACCATTCAGTATAGCACTCTGTGTGTTTGGGGAAGATTGGTCTGAAGACAAGAAGAAGGACATCCACTAAAAATCCTACTTGAATTCAAGCCATGAAACTCGGATTCAAACTGTAATTCGGAGACTCCTCAGCGCTCCAATACTAAGCAGCATTTCTGAAACACGAGCCAGTTGGCTAAGGCAGAGGAGTGGGCGTGGAGTGTGTCTTAAGCAGAGGTGTGGGGGCAGGATGCACTCACCCAGCATGGAAAGTCCGGGTCCCCAAGGTTCTGGAGACACCACCCGCCTACAGCCCGTGTATAACCACAAGGGCACAACACTGAGGGTATAGACGGCCTCTGAAAAGGAGACTTAGGAATGGGGCACCTGGCTGGCTTATGCTGGAGCTCCCTGGCTGGCTCCCCTTCTCATCAGGGACTTAAACCCTAGGTTTGGAGGGGAAAAATGGGCACTCATCTTTTTTTTTTTTTTAATTTACTTATGATAGTCACAGAGAGAGAGAGAGAGAGAGAGGCAGAGACACAGGCAGAGGGAGACGCAGGCTCCATGCACCGGGAGCCCGATGTGGGATTCGATCCCGGGTCTCCAGGATCGCGCCCTGGGCCAAAGACAGGCGCCAAACCGCTGCACCACCCAGGGATCCCGGCACTCCTCTTTAAGAAAACTCTTGTAAGGAGAGGAGATGGGCAGCGCATAGGGGCCTCACTGGGTGCTTGGGATGGGGGGTTCATTTGGAATAGAATGTTCTAGTTCTCTCTCCCCTGCATCACAGTGGGAATGGCCCCAATGCCACTTAAGGTGCTTCTGGCCCTTAAGAGTATAGCACTTTGGGCAGCCCGAGTGGCTCAAAGGTTTAGTGCTGCCTTTGGCCCAGGGCCTGATCCTGGAGTCCCAGGATCGAGTTCCACTTTGGGCTCCCTCCATGGAGCCTGCTTCTCCCTCTGCCTGTGTCTCTGCCTCTCTCTCGCTCCCCTGTGTCTCTCATAAATAAATAAAATCTTAAAAAAAAAAAAAAAGAGTATAGCACTTCTTCAAGAATGGCATGGAGAAGGACCCCTACTAAGGGGCAGGGGTGGGAAGAAAGGAGAGTCACCCAGTTAAAGTACTCTGGGAACAGATTGATGAGCCATGGGTCTTCACTGATAAGCCTTCCTTGGACACAGACCTGTAACTAACGCAGTCCTCACTACATCCTTGACCCAAAGGCAGGGAGGTTAGAAATGTGTTGCTCGGGGCACCTGGGGGCTCAGTGGTTGAGCATCTGCCTTTGGCTCAGGGCGTAATCCTAGGGTTCTGGGATCGAGTCCTCCCCACAGGGAGGAGCCTCCTTCTCCCTCTGCCTGTGTCTCTGCCCCTGTGTATTTCTCATGAATTAAAAAAAAAAAAATTGAAACGTGCTGCTCCCTTCATGTGACCATGAGAGGGTGGCCTGTCAAAGGTTCCATCCCCTCACCTGGAAAACGTGGTGCTTCTGTCTCAAAGCACCACTGCGAAGGGCCCATGAGACACAAAGGAAATGTCTGGCACATGCAGGCATCATTGGAAGGGGGAGCTGATATTTTCTACACTCCCGGCCAGCCTTGGAGAAGAGGTATGTTACACCATAGAAAGACCACTTAAAACAGCTCAGGTAGGCCTCGGGTCCAGCATTCAAAAATGAAAACTCTACTGAGAATTGTAGACTTTTATAGAAAATGTGTATTTTAATTTTTCAGTAATCTGAATTGTATGGAGGCTTGCTGAGTGTTTATTTAATCATTACAGAAAGCAGAATTCATGAAATTATGTTCACTTCAGGCCCCATATTTCTCCCCGCAGTTGCCACTCCCTGGTCCTGATCTAGCTGGTAGCACGGTACCCACCCCAGTCTTGAACTTGACAGTGGACTTGTCTACTTCCCACTGGACCATAACCCTCTTAAAGGCAGGGATTGTGTCCATTTGCCCCGTAGCCCCAGGGTGGCCCAACACCTGACATGGAAACATACAATAAATATTTGTTGAAAAATTGGAGACATTAGCTCAAAACAAACAGAACTGCCACTTGCCTTAGGAGCAACCCATATCCCAGCTAGGAAGACATAGAGGCAAATTCGGTCTTTAGCACACTCATTTTGCTTCAATGTCTTTTGCTTCTTGGAAAATTGTCCCAAAGCCAGCAAAATGAGACTTTTTTCCTTTTCTTTTGGCCCTAAATTATTTCTGAAAGTTACAGCGTTTTAGATTTGTATTGTTTTATTAGCTGTCATTTTTATTCATGTCCTCTTTTGTTTCGCTCCCTTTCTCTGGACCTCTTCCTGGTCTAGCTCGGCTGTTCCTCCGTTAAGCTGTTCCTCATATGGAAAGTTGTCTCTTCATCAGCACGCCATAAATAATCAAACCTGGGTGCGTTCCATTACCTTCTCTGGCTCCGCACTCCCACCTCCCAGATGCACGGCTCCAGTTTTCTGTGGCCCTAGTGGCAGGACTGTTGGCAATAAATGCTCAACTTCATTTATTTATTAGAATCCTCAGATCTGGACTGGCTCGCTCCATTCAAGCCGCTGACATGCTTTGTTAGGTACATATTTTATGGAGTCTCCTCCTTTCGCTGAGCTCCTGTAACGGTGTCCCGGTAAAGATGAACCGGGCTTTAACAAAACAGGCTTTTAGCTTCGACTTTATACTGACTTCCTTGACATTAGACAATCAGCAGCTTATCTAGGCTCATGGTGCAATCCAGTAGATATTTCACCCATATCCACCTCTTTGGGAATGTTCCTTTTGAGGTGAAATGTTTATGGTAGTTCTTATTTGGTCATGGTTATCCTCATAATAAAACTACAGCCACAGTTTTGCAAGCATATTTTAAAGTTGTGTTCAGTATGCAGACGTTAGCTTAGTGGTACATCACATTTTCCATGCTCTGAAGTGCAAAAATGTTTCAGTGTGTTGCCTGACCCTAGGAAAAAAATTGCTATCTATGGAAGGAAACCAAACGTGGCAACTAAAGAGAAATAAATATTATCCGTTCTAATTTTGATGTGAAGCTAATCAGGATTTTGTTTGTATGAAACTTGCTCCCATCTTTAAAATTGCTCCCCAATTTTGCAGCAAAGAAGTCACCTATAATAGGATGGCTCTGTTGCCTCTTCCGGGATGTTCCAAAAACAAAATTGCAAGCAATTAACATGTTGGCTCATTTCTGATAAGCCAAACAGCCACTAAGCACGACTCAAAAAAATAAAAGGTTTCACCTTCTATTATTAAATATGAATTTAATCTCCTACTCAGAGTTGTAAAAAGACCACCAGATCTTCCATAGGCTTTTGCAGAAACAGCAATGAACCTGATGTGACTATGGCCCGAGTTGCAATGTAGATCGCAGTACAAAAATTTGGCCGTGGAAGAGGTCCAGGTGGCTCAAACATATGAGCTGCATAACCATCCCAAAGCTCTGGCTATATCTGGAAGTAATACTTAAGAATATGTTCTTAGGAAACTAAAACACTGCCTTTTCCAAGTGTAATCCAAATTAAAGCACAGTTCAGATTTTCACAAGACATTCAGGGAGCCAAGCCGTTTGAACAATGGTTACACCCAAGGAAAGTTAAAATATCCAAGATGACAAAGTCTTTTGAATGGTAGTTACTCTTTCTTGAAGTAAAGGGTGGGGTGGGGGGAGTGAGAGGCCAGTCCTCCCGTGTCAGGATGGGGCATGAGGATATTTTTGATGATGAAAAGCCCCAACAGGGCACTGTGAAGGTAGCAAGGATCTGGATCTGGTGTCCACACAGCAAAATGCCAGTAATATTTTTGTACACAGTGGAGCAAATGAAATCTGACACACATTAGAATCTAAAACATCC